AATCATTTAAAATCAAACTGAGGAAATAATTCAATGCTCTCTTAGGTACTAGTATACTTAGTTTTCTACTCCTATCCATTATTTTTACAATTGAAAATACACCTATTCATTAGCTCTTTAGTGTCCACCCCATAATAAAGTCTAACAGATCCAAAAAACATATGGCAATGGTCTCTTCTTAAAAGTCTTACTCTATCGAATGTAAAGTTACAGTGTAACTTATCAGTTATCGAAACAAATATCACAAAAATAGCAGACATTAACGTCAACATACAGACAATTACATAGTTAAATGGTCCTAGAGACAAATATATAGGAAAAACAAAATCACAAGCAAGCCCGGCCTAAAGCAATCACAAGGGCTTAAAGCAATTTAAAAAAAAAACTTTTAATCAATATAATAGTAGATTTTGATGTTTAAGAGAGAAATTTTCAAAGTATGGACTTTTATATGTGAGATTTGTTTGTTTGTAAATAACCATAGGTCTTGGACCTTCCCTATTTGGGCTAAAGCTTTGTTACACGATATTTTGCAAAGGAAAAGTGTATTCGGTAACCGATAGTCAAATATGTTTTTTGTTTGCTTTTGATCAACCTTGTTCTAATGCAATATTCACTATTCAATATCGTCCATTCAATGTAACTTCACATTTTTTGTCGCATGCCAAATTCTAATGTTTAATTATGTTCATCTTCATATATACGAAGTATCAGAACTCATAGATCCTGTATATATATAGAGAGGTTATAGTAACCAACTACAAGGTGGTTTCCATTGTGATTGCTTCCCTAAGAGAAAACTATGAACATATGTTCAAAACATTGTAATTGTACCAAATTGCACATATAATTGTATTTTCTTTGTTTTTGTTATATATCACAACATATATCTTGATTTGGCGTGCTGCTTTGGTAAATCGGTTTTTTTTTTAGATGTTGAATTGGATTTCGGTGTCCATTTGTGCACATGTGGATAGAGAGTAGAGCACTTCATCATCATCCAAAGCAAATATATTTCATCATCTTCTTAGATATTTGTATTTACGAACATTATATAGCAATGGTGAATGATGAGAAATGACAAATTTATATAAATAAAGTTAGATTTCCATGATAGTTTTTCGGTTTTTGGATAAGTGATCACGAACACATCATTAGTACTACGACCACAAGACGATACACAACCGAAAAAATACCAACAGAAACCATTTTAAAAAACTAGATTCAATGGCCATGAACTGCACTCTCCAAGTAATCACAAACCCTGGACGCTATATGACGTGAGAAATGTGCGCTATATGCGATAAAATTTTCCAGAACGGTTAAGCTAGATGCCATCATTATTAGGAGTAATGGAGTATGACACACTAGACATGTTTGCTCTGGTGATATATTCTTAAACCAATAGTGCCAAACCTATGAAACCATATGGCTCATACGAAATTGTCAATATATCTATTCCAAACTGATGATCCGATAACTAGACCCAAATAGATGGCTCTAAAACATTCATTACAATTCATCGTGATGATTTGAATCTGAATCAAAATCTTGGATTCAACAAAAAATGTTAGATTACATAAAGTAATAATTTTTGGAAACATGATTAAAACAAAAAGAAGAAAACTAATTTATACGTGACCCGATCGATTCGCCTAAAATAAAATAAAGTACACATTACGCTAAATCGCTAATAATAATTCGTCAAAACCTTTAGTTCCGACAGCCATTATTCTTTTCGTACCGCATAAACCAGTATTTGTTCGGTTCGATTTAATTGTTACGGTTCAACTATAACCATTCAGTCCCGAACCATTGAGCCAATTTGTCATATTGGCGGATAACCAACCCGGACCCGACAAGACCTAACCCGTTCCCACACGTGTCACTTAAACTTCTCCACTCTTTTAGAAAAACCCTAATTTCAGTGCGCCCCTGTACACACAGTCGCACTTCAGCATCCTCCTCCAGCCATGGCGACATCTACTCATTTCCTCTCTCAACCTTCATCTCTCCGAGGAACCCTAAATCAATACCAATTGAACCAAACCTCACTCTCCAGAATCCCGGTTTTGTCTCTTAAATCCACCTTCAAGCCACTTAATCGCCTCTCCGTGAGAGCCGCCGTATCTCAAAACTCCGTCAAAACCGTGACGAAGGGATCGGGAGATAAAGCTGCGTCTTTCGAGCACTGTTTCAAGAAATCCTCTGATGGGTTTCTCTATTGCGAAGGAACTAAGGTTGAGGATATTATGGAAAGCGTCGAGAGAAGACCTTTTTACTTGTACAGTAAACCTCAGATCACAAGGAACGTTGAGGCGTACAAAGAGGCTTTGGAAGGAGTGACATCTGTTATTGGTTACGCGATTAAAGCTAATAACAATCTCAAGATTTTGGAGCATTTGAGGAGTTTGGGTTGTGGTGCTGTGTTGGTTAGTGGAAATGAGCTCAGACTTGCTCTCCGTGCTGGTTTCGATCCCACAAAGTAAGAGTTTTTTATGAATCCATTGCTTAGTTTGAGTCATACTCTCAAATGACAGTTTAGAGAGCTTAGTTTATGAAACCAGTAGGTGGATGTAGTGAGAGGAGTGTATATGTAACCTGGAGTTGACTTTGTAACATAATGTAAAGTCAGAATTATTGCCTTGACTTGTTGATGGAGTCAGAATATGAGAAGATTGATGTATGAATTGTTGATTATGTCTTTTGCTGTATAAAAATGAATTAGGTGCATTTTTAATGGAAATGGGAAGCTGTTGGAAGATTTAGTTCTAGCTGCGCAAGAAGGTGTTTTCGTAAATGTTGATAGCGAGTTTGACTTGGATAATATTGTGGAAGCTTCAAGAATTTCTGGTAAGCAGGTCAATGTTCTGCTGCGTATCAATCCTGATGTCGATCCTCAGGTAAATTTTAAATGTTTAGCATCATGTCCTAGTTTTAATAACATAATGTTTTTTCTGCATAGGCTGGATATGAGTGAGCTTTTCTGTTTGTTACGGGTTTTTAGGTGCATCCATATGTTGCTACCGGGAACAAGAACTCAAAGTTTGGTATCAGGAATGAGAAGCTTCAGTGGTTTCTAGATGAGGTCAAGGCACATCCCAAAGAGCTGAAGCTTGTTGGAGCTCATTGCCATCTAGGCTCCACCATTACAAAGGTAACTCCGATTACAGTACTTTATATTATAGATGAATATGGTTGGCTCTCTGTTCATGTTTTTCTTTTGCTCTCTCTCTAAGCTTTCGATTCTTGAGCTCTACGTATTCATGTATTTTTTGGTTTATTTCAGGTGGATATATTCAGAGATGCTGCGGTTCTCATGGTGGAATACATTGATGAAATCCGGCGTCAAGGCTTTGAAGTTAATTACTTGAACATTGGTGGTGGTTTAGGAATAGATTATTACCATGCAGGGGCTGTCCTTCCTACACCCATGGATCTCATCAACACAGTAAGAACATTTCAAAAATCTTTCCTTCAACTGATCTAAAAAAACACTAGAATTGGTAGAATATTACAATCCTTGCTTTATTCCCAGGTAAGAGAGCTTGTTCTATCACGAAACCTGAACTTAATAATCGAGCCAGGGAGATCGCTGATTGCAAACACATGCTGTTTCGTCAACCATGTCACTGGTGTGAAGACAAATGGGACTAAAAACTTCATAGTGATTGATGGAAGTATGGCTGAGCTTATCCGTCCCAGTCTTTATGATGCCTATCAGGTAAAATATATATATGTTTGTTACAACTGCATCATGCATAATTGCCCCCTTTTAGTTATAGCTTAACACGTTATTGTTTCTTAACACACAAAAGCACATTGAGCTGGTCTCTCCTCCACCACCTGTATCAGAGGTTTCCAAATTCGACGTAGTGGGTCCTGTTTGTGAATCTGCTGATTTCTTGGGCAAAGACAGAGAGCTTCCCACTCCTCCAAAGGTGAGTTAACAATCTGATTATGGTTGACATCTCGAGTGAATGCAGCTTGAGTAAATAGAGAATCAAATTGAGTTTGTTGTAATCATTACAGGGAGCCGGTCTGGTGGTTCATGATGCTGGTGCATACTGTATGAGCATGGCTTCCACTTACAATCTCAAGATGCGTCCCCCGGAATACTGGGTATGAACGGATCTTCTTATTTCTGTTTTCTGTTGAAATTATAGGAGAATCAAGATCCTGAGAAATTGTCATGAATTTCTGTAAACTTTAGCCATTTCAGTGCTTCGATATCAGTGGTGAAACTGATGCATCTGTTTTTGTTTTTGCAGGTCGAAGAAGATGGGTCAATCACCAAGATCAGGCATGCTGAGAATTTCGAAGACCATTTGCGTTTCTTCGAAAATCTATGAACTCTGAGGTTTTACTCATCATTGTCGCTATTTTAGTTGACTTGTATGATTATTCGGAATCATGACCGTAATGCTATTGATGTGTAAGATTTTCATATTCCATGCTTTTGATCCAAAAGTCCTCAATAAAGTGATCAAAAGAATATAAAACACAAGTCCAAAGGTGTGGGTGTTGTAGGCTA